CACAGTACCGACCATTTTCCATACTTCCTTTCTTATATAAAGTCCTTGAACGCATAGTCCATCAGCAACTATATGTACACTTAAATAATAATAACATCCTATCTCCTTCCAGTCAGGCTCTCGACCTGGGCACAGCACTGTGACTGCACTTAATAAAGTCAGTGGGGATATTCGACGCGGATTTGACAATCAGCAGATTACCATCCTGGCCCTGTTAGATTTCTCTAATGCATTTAACACAGTAGATTTTGACATCCTACTTGCCATTCTCAAGTCCCCTTTAGAGGTGGATTTTCCAAAAATCCTTCCTCGGTGGATGTTTATATCATAGAATGCAAAAATTGTCAAAATTTTAAGTTTTTAACCCCTGTGGCTTCCGCATTGATGAATCAGTCTGGACAAGTAATTTTATAATTTACGTATAGATAGATATTATTTTAATTTTATAAATACTATTTGCTTGGGGCTAGATTGTTTATTGCCCTTAAACCTTATCGTAGTCTGGACGTAATTTTTTTAAACACTTAATTTTTTTCTGTCTAGCGCCATCTATTTATAAAAGCATTAAGCAATTAAGCAAAAGTATTGCCAGAATTTAAATCTCCGTAGTTAAATTCTGTCAAGATAATTAGTAATTATTTAAGATATAATATTGAAAACCTTAAAATTATTTTATAACTTGTATGATTATAAAAAATATTTTGGTACATTTTAGTATAGTCTTTCTATTATACTTATGAATTTAACTCGAATATTGTTGGTTGTAACTAAAGTTCATTATCAAAAGGAAGCAATGAAGTAGCTAATCAGTGATATTTGACATTGAATTGACATTGATAGTAATCGCTTTTATTTTATGTAAGATGAAATATGCTTTATAGCACACATAACAAATTACATATATGTATTATGCAGCTAGCCGCTACCTTTTATATATTATTCTTTGAGCAGAGTAATATATATAAAGTGTAGATTTATTCTACTTGCGCCTGTCTGCTATCTACAATATGAACCACTCACATTTTTTACAATTTAAAATCCAAAGTCCTAGATTTCTGTCACGACGTTTTCTATATTATAATATAATACCTGTGCTACCGAGCTTCGCTCGGAGTTTTTGGCCTAAAGTACAATTTTTAAACTAAAAACTTGACTAAATATTTAAAAAAATGACAAAAGTAAAACTTGGTATGTATCCTAGAGACGAACCCGAGCGAAGCAATATGTATATATATATATATATACACTCTATAGATATTTTTTAATAGGTACAGATAAACATTGTCTGTATAAAAATATCTAAGTAGTAAACGATATAGCTGAGAGAGGGGTTGCTCTAGTTGAGGAATTTAATCAGTTCGCCACTAAAGATGAAGAACAGAAACAATATCTATGGAAAGTTGTCCAGCAACATCATATGTCATATCCAAATTGCAACAAACAGAATTTTTTGAACTTTAACAGTCAAGAAGAGTAAATATATTGAAAAAAAATTAATTTATACGTTGTACGTGTTCATACCTGTAATTGAAAATTATAAAATTAATTTACTAATAAGTTTTTAAAAAAGAATGTTGTTCTATTTAATAGAAAAATTGATACGTACTTTTTTGACTTTTTATTATTTTCGTTTTTTAAAGCCTTGTAATTTTTTCCTATGCGTTTTAGCGAAAAAATGAAAGAGACCTTTTTTGTAGAGAATTTAATTTCCTACAAGATAACGAAAAGGGAAGTGTGAATTTTTTTATGACGATTTACAATGAAAATAAAGAAAAAAGTTTTTTTTAATGTATTTTAAATGGGAAAGGGGATCCCCCACACGCCAGCTCAATTTTCAAGATATCAAGCTCATCTTTTAGGAGGTTTTTTTTTGTCTAACGAAGAAACTTTTTAGATGTATTTAAAAAAATTCTTTCATTCTGACGCAGTCTAATATATATACAAGACTCGTTTATAGATATAAAATAAAGCAGTAACAGAAATATTTTTAAAAACAATGACTGTAACGTATTGTGTACACTGTACAGAATATAGACCCCAAAACAAAAGTTATTTAAAATTTTGTCTGTTTTGTTTTGTCTGTATGTCTGCTTATTTGTCTATTTGTGTGTGCACGATTCACGCAAAAAGTAATGAACCGATTTCAACGAAATTTTACGAAGTGATTGAACTTATTACTCGGGTCATCATTTAGGATAACTTTTACTACAGGAAAAATTTTCATTTCCACGGAAAAACACAATAACTGGTTCTATCGAGTCGTCCTTAGAAATTTATACGACTAACGCTGGTTAAACCTTAAGAAATACCTATATCAAAAAATGTACCTACTAGAAAATTATAGGTCTGGAAGAAACTGGAAAGTAATTAGATAACAATGCGGGAATTGTAACATATATAACGTAGAGAGAATGTCTGTTTGTCTGTTTTTGTGTGCGCGTTTCACGCGAAAAATAATGAACCGATTTCAACGAAATTTGATGAAGTGATGACTTATTACTCGAGTCAACATTTAGGATACCTATTACTTCAAGATTAAATCTTTTTTTCCACCGGGCAAATATAATAACTAGTTTTATCGAGTCCTCCCTAGAAACCTTCCGCTGGCTACATCTTAAGACCTACATTAAAACAATATACTAAAAAATTGTAGGTCTTGAAAAGGTCTACAGAAAATTTCTCAATAGTCTATTTCCTAAGGTACACTCGCAATATCTATTCTTATCTGTCCATATAATAAAACTAACTTAGTCAAATTGATGGATCGAGCTCCGTGGGATAAATTTGTTGTTGTCTAGAGGCTAACCCGAGCGAAGCTAGGGTGAGGCGCTAGTTTCTTATATTTTTCTTTTATTAATGTAATAAAAATTAAATTATATGCAGATTAAAAGATAACTTACTTTTTTCTGACTTCTGAATAATTGCAATATAATCTTCTAAAGAATTCTTTGTAATTATGAGTATATATAACTTGAGCATAATATTTTCATTTTCCAGTGGGCGTCTTAACTTCATCCCAGCGCCACAAAGTCCTTCATAGCCTCTCGCTACCCCACCCCTTTCCAGTGAAAGCCTGACATTGAATTTCATGGAAACCACACTCCTTTATCATTATAATAAGTATATTATACTTTTTATATAACTTAAACTACACTTAATTTAAACTTATTAGTTAGAATGAAAATAAGCGAAAACAAAAAAAGATTATTATATTATGTAATATGAATGTTGAAAAATAACTGACATTTAAAAGTGAGGTAGAGCTCAGTTTAGTTCAGATTATAGGTTGACAGCAGCTGATACTGTTTTATTTATTTATTAGAAAAATCGACTTATTCTCTTCGCGTCCGCGGATACGCCGGCGTTACAGTTAACAATAAATCTCTTAGAAACTTAATTAATTCCTTAGAAATTTACCTGGAGGTTTTATCATAATGACAGTATAATTATTGTAACATGTACATGCAATTCGGTATGATTCGCCTTTACAGGTTTAAACATCTACTTATAATTTTTTGCGTGCGATTAGAAAATGTTTGTACATAAACTAAGAGCCAAGAGGAGTATTAAAAACGTATAGGTACATTAAAAACATTCAAGTACGAGTATATAAAAAAGAAAAAAAACATATTGAATAATTATATATTATTAGTAAACATTTTTTAACAAATTTGGCATAATCATCACAACAAAAAATATCTATATCACCTTTGGATGAAATTACATTGTATGTTTTCATTAGTCTGTTCAAAGGAGCATATTTTCCTATATTGGTTCTGGAGTGATTCGGATAGAAGATATTGCTTATGGGGTATATAGAAACAGACGTTTAATGTTAATTTTTTTTATTTATGTATTTATTTATTGGTTTGTTTGTCGGTCCGTCGGTCGGTCGTTCGTTCGTTCGTTCGTTCGTTCGTTCATTCATTCATTCATTTATTTATTTATTTATTTATTTATTTATTACCATTAGGCCAGTGGATCAACGTTTGTAGAGCTATGTTTATATTAATATCACCTATAATAGCAACCGTTTGATATGCAGATAAGGATGTTAAAACCGAGTTTAGGCTATATAAGAAATTATCTATATTTCGGTTGGACGGTGATCGATATATTGCCACAACAACAATGTCATGATCACATTTCAAAGCAAGACCATTAGCGTCTAAAAAAAGCGGTCCCACGGGCGTACACTTCAAATCTGTTCGTACATAGACTACTATTCCATCATTTTGGTTTGTATTATTAGACTCGTGATAGACGAAGACAGAAATAATAGGTATTTGTAGTATTTTACTAAGCCAACATTCAGTCAGGACTATAATGTCACAGTTCACGTCCAAAGAGTAAAGAAAAACTTCAAGTGCGTTAAAATTGCGGTTTAAACTTCTTATATTCATATGGAATATATGTAAGGGATTTGATAAACGTGTAAGATATTTCATACAATTTTCAGGGTTGCAAATGTGTGATTCAAAGTATTCTGTATTATCTATTATAATTCCAATATTATTTTTGTCATCCATAATCAAAACACCAAAGAAAATAGGGGTACAGAATAATGTTAAGCAATATTATAAAATAAAGGTTTGATTTTACCAATGGCCAATAAATACATAGCGAAAATAAGAATAAAAATATTAAACGCCTTGTATGTGACCGAATATACCTATTACAGAACCTATTTACAATGAAATTTTGAGGATATAGTATGAATGTAGGATGTGTTTTGTTTGTAATGTAATGTTTAAAGTGTTTATTTGGTGATATTAACAAATTCTTAAAATAAATAATTAGTTTAACACAATCATTATAGTTTAATGTATTATTTAGAACAAAATAAAATAAGAATTTAATAATTGAAATATAGAATTCATGCAATTGTAATAAGTGTAAAAACATTTTAATTATATAATATAAATATAGAATAACCGAACTAAAACAATATTTTGAGCAATCTAGCAATATTAAAACTAATTTTATATTTTTCCTATTTAAAATAGTGCATGCTTAAGCTTTATGAAGTCGTGTTCCGAATTTATACGGTGATATGGGTCACCTTCCTTTTTCCGTAGGTAGATTTTACCAATTGAGGTCCAGCAATATGCAAATCCATTTAGAGTGGCAAACTGTCTTGAGAGAGAAAAGAGTCTACGCGTTTTATGCGTCAAGGATTCTGATATATAAACAGGTTTTTGTGGATCTTCAAAATGTAGATCTTTTGTACTTAGCTTCTTACTGGAATGATTTTTATTATATGTTTTAGTCAATTTTAAAATATTTTCCTTCATAGCAACTGTGGTAAATTCAACAATAATAGGTTTTATATTGGATTTAGTGTTCTCTCGGTATATATTTCTTATGTCAGATGGCTGTATTGAGGTTTGCAATACTAGCCCCGTATTTACTATTACATTTGTTAAGTCTGTCTTGTTTTCTGACGCTTTTACTGGAATATTACGGATTTCCAAGGATGCCGAGTTACTACTGTTTTCTAGATTTTCAACTTTATCTTCCAAAGACTGAATATATGCAAGATGAGTTTTCCTTTCCGCTTCAAAAGATTCAAGCTTGCCATGGATCTCATCGTACCTTACCGAAAGAAATTCAAGGGAAGTCTGTATTTCTTTATTTTGTTGCGTAATTGTGTCTTGAAGAAGTTTAAAATTATTTTTCTGTTCCAATTTAAATTCTTCAAACATCCTAAATATATCTTTCCTGAAAGATGCGTTGGCCTCATTATCGTCAAAAGAACCCTCCCGCCTTCGTTTTGGCTTGCGAGTTTTCGAGGCCGATCGCGTTTTACCGGGGCTAGCAGGCGGTGTTCTCTTCAGAGGCATTGTAATAGAGTATTACGTGTGTGTGACAAAGCTCAATATACTTTTTTTGCGCCGACTTCACGCAATTAAAGCGCAGTATTATGCGCATAAGACAATTTCTTGTGTTAAAATGAGATAACTAGTTACACTAGAAGCGTCGCACGCGCTTGAAGGTGTTGCTTGGCCTATAAGGCAGGATCAAGAAGTTATGAGTGGTACGACTGACCTCATGGTAGGGATGGATGCGTTACGTGCGAGGTCTCCTTTCGTCTATGAGCGCCTGGTAGTTGTAGATGGATTCACATAATTTTGGACTTTTTAAATTTTTTAATTAAAATTGCAACGCGGTTACTTAAAACACGTCCACTCCATACGGAGGCTCCGGGGGAAGGGGGTTAGCTGAAAAATATCTGTACAGCTCATTTGTCCATGTAAGAGCTTGTAAGGCGTTTTTAGAACACTAATTATTCGTCGCATATACTCGTATGTACCTATTTAACAAAACAAACTCTAAATTGAATGTTGAAACGTCTCGACAAGTAAAAAAAACGTGTGTGTGTACTTATTAACGCACCTAATAAGTTATACTTCTTTGGCGTAACAGAACAAAAAACAGCTGAAGATTTCATCCCGTATGTCACAATTCTGTTTGTAAAAGGAATGCAGCTAACTTCATCATGTTGCTTTTTGGCTGTTGATGTGCGCCCGCATCTTAAAAATGTTACTCTCATATTTTTTTCCAAACGTGCCAAAGAAGTATAACTTCAAAAAATACTAATTTTAAGATAAAATACTGCAAGTGTCGTAGAAAACGATCCTGTGTTGATTATTTATTATTACAGTTCGGGTCTTCTGCGCGACGGCGCGCGGGTAGACAGCAGCAATCTATACATCTAATAAAATTGTAACTAAGCCGAATCTGTACATTAAATATTTTTTGGAAAACCTTACTGGAATAAACATTATTATCGATACAGAGGCCGAATCTATAGTTATTAGAATTTTTGTCTGTCTGTCTGTTACCGCATCACAGAAAAACCACTGGAGGAATTTTTGATGAAATTTGGTATGGTGATAGCTGGTTATCCGGGTCAACATATAGGATACTTTTTACCGCGGGAAAATATCTCATTTCTGAAAAAAAACAGAAAAACTGCAATGTAAGAGTATACTAATCTGTAAAACCTAAGAATTTGGTTTTTGGTCATCTGAACGCGGGCGGAACCGCGGGCAATACTAGTTCAAAATAAAAAACAAAATAAAGTATCTGGACAAATAATTATGTAATAGTCGTACAGTAACTGGATTAATAGTCACTCCCAATAATTAATTGTAATGATTTCTAAATAATAAATACAATACTTAGTTGTGAAAGCCGAATAATAAAAAATATGCACACTAAAATTACCCTTCAGCCTATTATCATTTTTTATTAATTAAAATTTTTATTTAGTAAATAAGTTTTTGACTCATATTAATATGTATACATATTTCTTTCATTTCAGTAACGAATTATTGCAATGCAGTCTTCGACACCTACCTGTGCTGGCCTCCAACAAAACCTGGAGTATTAATCCAGCAAAATTGCCCTACAGTTCGTCTTAGTGATCCAACCCGTAAGTTATAATTTATTGTACTTAGTATACTAATTAATTTATATAATTAGATGATTTATAAGACTGCTAGCATAGCATTTATTACACACCATGAAAAATGTTCCAAATAAGTTGAGAGGTATTTCTAAGAAATGTTGTAAATGGTCACCAAATTTGAAGCGCTAAGAATTGACTTTATTTTTGATGGTGTGTAATAAATGCTATGCTAGCAGTCTTATAATTATTATCTAAGTATTATATATAAAAATCAGCTTTTATACTATAACGTAAGTAGAATTATGATTTCATGAAAAGGGTGTCTGGCAAGGGTTTGCCACGATGTTAAGTGTCTGGCATTGAATGACGTGATTTTTAATAATATGCTGAAGGTAATACCAAAAAATCACACTTCATTATTTCACGAATTTAGATCGGTATTTTACAAACCTTTAGTACCGTGTACCTACCTGCCAAAACCACCATAGCCTGAACTTCATAATGGTCCATCGTTCTTATCTGTGTTGGGAGCATGCGCTGACAAACTTTCAGCCTTTATAAAATTACGAAGGTCTGGCGTTCACAGGCTCTTAGGCCATATTATCAATATCATAGTTGACAATATTATTATCACTCATGGTTTTTTTGTGTGCTTAATGAAATAAAAAGAATTGTATTTGCATTCAAGTACGTGACTTACGTTGCAATTTAATTACCGGACTGCGCAACGTAAAGGAGGATAATGCGTTTATCAGTCTATGTTTGTTCCTATGAGGCGTACTAGAGACCAAACGCGTAGGTCGATTTTGATGATTGATAGATAGTTAGATTAGTCTTGATAACGCGAGTGTCATAGGCTATATAAAAATAGTAAAAAAATATAAAGACGCATTTCCGGCGCCAATTTGTTTTAAAAAAAAGACCAAACTAATCGAGTGGGGGGTCAAGAATAAAGTCACCAACATTAAGGTCCTCACACGGATGCACTAAAATAAATCCGTACTTGTCAAAACCATCAAACAGAAAAGTTGTGTACTTAGGACTCGTGCTAAGGCATGAAGGTTACCAAAATTGTTGGCTCACTATTACAAGGTTCTATGTTACAATTTTAGCACTTATTTAGTTATTAATGTTACAAGGTTCTATGTGTCATTAGTTACAGTTTTGCAAAAACAAACTACTATAGCTAAGGGAAATGATATTCGAAAACTGGTAATTAACACTTTAATATATATACTATTATCGTACATGGGTTGCAGAATAGATTTTAACACAATGTAAGTATAGATATAAAACAACGGCGTAAGAGAGAGCGGCGTGGTCTAGTGTAATGCGCGTCCCGAACATAACTAACTACCCCTCCTGTCCGCGGTAGCGGGCCGGCGGGCGACGCGTGCGGCGGGGGTGTCGTATTGCATCATCTTTTAATGTACGAATTCCGTTCGCTATATCCTCCCCCTCCAAGTCACAGCCACTACTAGGTGGTTGAGACTTGGCTGGACGTCCTCTCTTACGCAAGGTGACAGCGTCAGACCTAGAAGTCCCTTGATACAAAGACAACGCGCTGGCATGGTACTTGCCCTTAACCTCTCCCTCTTTATCTATCACCTCAAAAGTAGTTGGAGAGACGGCTGTTGAAATTTTATACGGCCCTTCCCTACGCGGCGCGAATTTTCTGGTAACCCCTTTCTCAGCATTGCTGTGACTGTGCATCTCCACCCACACGAGGTCACCTTCCTTAAACCTTGCTGTTGGTCGTCGGCGTTGGTCCTCCACAGCTTTACGGCGATCTTGTTGCTCTTCGATACGCCATGTGACCTCTTTCAAAATGTCGGTGAACTGGCGAAGGTAGGGGGTGATTTGAGGAACAAAATTCTCTTCCTCTACTACAGCCCTGATATCGTTGACTACACTAAAAGGAGATCGGAGATCTCGTCCAAAAGTAAGATAAGCCGCACTATGCCCTGTACCTTCGTTATATGCGCTGTTGAGGGCGAACCTAACGGGGGGCAGGTACTGTGGCCAACTTCGATGGTCGGATCCTACGAGCATTGCCAGCATCTGCTTCATATCCCTGTTCTTACGCTCCGCAGGATTCGCCTCGGGATGATACACAGGGGTTAAGTTCTGCTTAATTCCAAGCACGAACATGGCCTTTTGCATGACCGCGGAGACAAATTGAGTCCCATTGTCAGATATTATTCTGCGGGGTAACCCGTATCGAAGAAATACCTCTTCTATTAAAACCTTAGCACACGTTTCAGCGGTAGCATCGGTCAGAGCAAAGAGTTCCACCCACCTACTTGCAGCATCTTCCACTAAGAAGATCCACTTCTCCCCCTGGCTTCCAGCTGGTAATGGACCGAATAGATCCATCGCTAAGACTTCAAAGCGTTGTTGAGGGGTCGGAGTCTGCAATAGACCCGCAGGTTTCAGGTTTGTAGGCTTATATTGCTTACATATGTCGCATGACTTGAGGTATTGAGCTACAAAGGTTCGCATATGGGGAAAATAATATCTCTCTTTAATCTTCTTCAGGGTGCGTTCCAAGCCGAGATGTCCAGCGGTCGGTGCGTCGTGCAGCTCCTTCAATAATTCTGCGCGTAGCGATTCTGGCACCACCAGCAATGGTTCATCTGCTTCTCCTTCAGGATCTGCGCGATAAAGGACTCCCTGAGTCATATAGTACCCTCTTCGTGTCCAGCGCAATGCTGCGTCTGGATCAGCGTCTTCAAAATCATCAATGATTTTCTTAATTTCAGGATCTTCCAGCTGGGAAACGCGGAGCTCTCCAGGTCGTCGATGCGGCAAGTCTACTACCATAGGGCAGATCCCACAAATATCGTCTGAGTCAGCTACTCCCACTGGACGACTGAGAGTATCTGCGACGACATTCATCTTCCCAGGGGCGTAATTAACGTCCAAGTTGAATGCTTGTATCTTCATAGCCCATCTGGCAAGACGACCACTGGGCGTCTTCAACGTTAGGAGCCATCTCAGCGGCTGGTGATCGGTAAGCACGTGTATTTCTGATCCCTCTAGGTATCCACGGAAACGCTCTAACGCCCACACCACAGCTAACGCTTCCCTCTCTGTGGTATGGTAGTTGCGTTCTGCGTTAGTCAGTAATCTGCTCGCGTATTCGATGGGTCGTTGTGACGTCGGTTCCGACCCTTGCAGCAACACGGCGCCTAAAGCATAAGAGCTCGCATCAGTTCGTAACACAAAAGGTTCATTAAAATCTGGCTGACGAAGAATAGGTGCAGAGGTAAGAGGTAAGTCTTTCCTTCAATTCTTCAAAAGCGACTCTCTGAGCTTCCTCCCATTGCCAACATTGACTTTTCCTGGTAAGGTAGGTTAAGGGTCGAGCTACATCGGAAAACTCCGGGATGAACTTACGAAACCAAGATGCAGTCTGAAGGAAACTTTTGAGTTCCTTAAGGTTCGTAGGCGGCTTCATGGCTACTACTGCTGCCACTTTAGCAGGATCCGGTTCAATTCCATTAGCTGATATCACATGACCTAAGTATGTTAGCCTCTCCCTGGCAAACACACATTTACTCCTATTAGCTTTTAAGTTAAATAATCTGTGGCTGACTTACATTCATCATAAAACATTAAATAAATTCACACACCTTACACACACCCTACATAATAAAAAAAATAAAAAAAATACGCATAGAACTTGAGCCTTGAACTTGAGCCTCGCGGACAGCTGATCGAGGTGACGTAATGTCATCTTTCCTCCCGCGCACCGCACCTCGGTGTTTCCCATTAGCGGCGCCCGCGCATTAGCATCTACGATCTTTTCAAGTTAATTAAAAGTTAAAAAGTTTCAACTCCTTACTCCAGTCAGTCGCAATCCGCATGCTAGACGAGAGACACGTACCGCTCGCTTACTCGCCATTCCAAGCTTACGTACTTAATCATATAAGCTTCGTAATTTTATGTATTTTATTTCCACTATCTTTGTGCTTTTGTTCTTTCTATCGTGTAAACTGTATGAACTATCTTTCCGCTTTGCTCTTTCTCCTTCTATATTTTGTGGGTGTAAAATAGTGCATTAAAGGCTGTGAATTGTACATAGACTTTTATTAAGTTCTCGCCAACTCAACAACAACACACTACCAAACCCCCACAGTGGTGACCCCAATTGAACATTAAAATGAGCAGTGACGACGGTGCTACAGCAGAATCTGGACCCTCTGCGAAAAGTCCACGTGTTCGCCAACGTGTTAAGAAATGTGAGCGCGTTTCAACGGACCGAGATCTTTCGACGGAGTTATTTCGTGTCGGCGTGCGTATACCGCCATTTTGGATAGAAAAACCTAAGATTTGGTTTGCACAAATTGAAGCGCAATTTAACTTAGCACGGATAACAGATGACAACACTAAATTTTATTACGTTCTGGCGCATTTGGACGGGCAATATTCTGCAACGGTCGAGGATATAATTGAAAATCCACCCTCTACTGGCAAGTACGAAAAGCTTAAATCAGAGCTTATTAAGCGTGTTTCTATATCGAGACAGAAGAAGGTGAAACAATTATTACAATCTGAGGAATTAGGAGATCGCAAACCTTCTCAATTTTTGCGACACTTACAACAATTAGCAGGACCGAATATGCCTGACGATTTTATTATGGATGTGTGGACTAGTCGTTTACCAAATAATTTACAGACTATTATCGCTTCTCAACCTAATATGGCTCTTCAAGATTTAGCCGAATTAGCGGACAGGGTACATGATATAGCACCTAGCCAGCCTCAATTGGCAGTAGCATCTATTTCAAGGTTAGAATCGGCGATGGATGTCATGGCGCGTCAAATAACGGCATTGACGAAGCAAGTGAGTGAACTGACTACCCAGAACTTCGATCGTGCGCGTCCACGGCATAGACAAAGGCCACGTCAGCGCAGTCATTCCAATTCTAGAAGATCACATTCCAACTTTAGGAAGTTTCCCATATGCTGGTATCACTACAAATTCGGCAATAAAGCGACTAGATGTACCTTACCATGTGATTATAAGTCGGGAAACGAGACGGGCAGTCGGTGATGGCGGCTGACGATTGCCCTCCGTCTTCTAATACTGGTCGCCTGTTTGTGACAGATCGCAGTTCGAAAGTGCAATTTTTAATCGATACAGGAAGTGATGTGAGTGTTTTTCCTCATGACGCGATTCAACAACGACGTGCAAAAACGGATTACCAGTTGTGTGCAGCAAATGGTACTACGATCAATACGTATGGTTATGTACAACTTATTTTAAATTTAGGCTTACGTAGAGAATTTATGTGGCGTTTTGTAGTTGCAGATGTATCTAAAGCAATTATTGGCGTAGATTTTTTATCTTATTTTAATTTAGTTGTAGATATTCGCAATAAACGCTTAATAGATAATACAACTAATTTGTGTACTGTAGCCATGATTTCTAGTAGTGTAGATAGTCTAGTGTCTAGCGTTAAGATCATGACTTGTGATAATAAATATAATAATATACTTTCCGAATTTTCTGAGATCACTCGACCAGCTGGCCCAGTACGCATCATAAAACACAATATTACACACCACATTCGCACCACACCAGGCCCACCAGTAGCTTGTTCACCAAGACGTCTCGCTCCAGATAAGCTAAGGATAGCTAAGGCTGAGTTTGAAGCCATGTTGGCTAATGGCACAGCTCGACCTTCAGAAAGCTCCTGGTCCTCACCGCTTCATCTAGCCCCCAAAAAGGACAATAGCTGGCGTCCTTGTGGTGACTACAGGATGCTAAATGCTAGGACAATTCCTGACAAATATCCCATAAGGCATATCCAGGACTTTGCTCATAGCCTTTCTGGATGTAACATATTTTCTACGGTTGACTTAGTTAAAGCATATAACCAGTTACCAGTTTTTGAGCAGGATATTCCAAAAACTGCTATAACTACACCGTTCGGACTCTTCGAATTTCCATATATGACTTTTGGTCTACGGAACGCCGCTCAGACCTTCCAAAGGTTTATAGATGAAGTGACACGTGGTTTAGATTTTTGTTACCCGTATCTCGATGACATATTAGTATTTTCGAAGGATGAGTCACAACATCAGGACCATCTTTGTCAACTCTTCACGAGGTTAAGAGACTATGGCATTTTAATAAATACCTCTAAGTGTCAATTTGGAGTAACAGAAGTCACTTTTCTAGGCTACCATATTTCACAAGCCGGCACTAAACCTTTGGAGAGTAAAGTAGAGGCAATAAAAAATTACCCCGTACCTAAGACGGCTAAGCAGCTTAGGAGATTTTTGGGTATGGTTAATTTCTATAGGAGGTTTATACCTCAAGCAGCTCATATCCAAGCCCCTTTAAACGCCCTCTTAACTAGTTCCGTGAAAGCCTCTCAGACTGTAGATATATGTGGAGATTCGTTGAAAGCATTCGAGAAATGTAAAGACAGTTTGTGCAATGCAGCTATGTTAGCACACCCTGATCCTGACTCAAAACTAAGCCTAGTAACTGACGCTTCAGATTTCGCCATTGGTAGCGTTTTGCAGCAGTTAAAGGATGGTAACTGGCAACCTCTAGCTTACTTTTCTCGTAAGTTGAGTCCATCGCAAAGGAAATACTCGCCCTACAACAGAGAACTTCTAGCAATTTACGAGAGTATTAAATACTTTAGACATTGGCTAGAGACAACAAGCTTTACTATTTATACTGACCACAAACCCTTATGTTATGCATTTAGTGAGCGTAAGAATAATTGCTCGCCGCGTCAATATAGATATCTGGACTACATATCTCAATTTTCTACAGATATATGTCACATTTCTGGCAAGGACAACGTAGTCGCAGACACATTATCACGCATCGAAGAGTTACAGATCCCTGTAGATTTCAAAGTGCTAGCTCAGGCTCAAAACTCTGATAGCGAACTTAATAAATACCTAAAAGAAGATTCTTCTCTGCGTATTGAAAGGATGACAATCCCAGGTAGTCGCACTTATCTGTACTGCGATGTCAGTACAACGACACCTAGGCCTTTCATACCTCAATCATTACGCAAACAAGTTTTTAATAGCCTGCATTCATTAAGCCATCCCGGCGCTAATGCTAGTGCTAAACTCGTAGCACAACGCTACGTATGGCCGCAGATGAGGAAGCAGTGTCGCGAGTGGGCTAGGGCATGTTTGGATTGCCAACGCGCGAAGGTGAATCGACACGTGTCGTCTCCTCTGGGCACGCACGATATACCGAAGGCGCGTTTCAAATATGTGCATCTAGACCTCATCGGACCATTACCTCCATCTGCCGAGTATCGGTACTGCTTAACAGCCGTCGATCGTTTCACACGATGGGCCGAAGCTGTACCTCTTACCGATATTACGGCGGAGTCTGTAGCCAAAGCATTTTTATCCGAATGAGTTGCACGTTATGGTTGCCCTACAGACATTGTCACTAATCGTGGTAGGCAGTTTGAGTCTACGCTATTTCAGCAGCTTTCGAAGTCTATTGGCTTCCGACATCGTAAAACAACTGCTTACCATCCTCAGTGCAATGGTCTAGTCGAGCGATTCCATAGACAATTAAAAGCAGCAATAATGTGCCATGCTGATTGTAGATGGTCGGAATCGCTACCATTCATACTCCTTGGAATACGAAGTTCCTTCAAGGAGGACTTACAATGTTCCTCAGCAGAGCTCGTTTATGGAGAACCTTTACGTCTTCCAGGCGATTTCTTTGACCAGAGCATAGACAAGTGTACAACTGATATAACAGATTTTTCTTCCCGTATCAGATCATTTGCCAATGACTTAAAACCAGTCCCTGTTAGACATCACACACATAATAATAAAATTTTTATATACAAAGACCTCTCATCATGTTCACACGTATTTTTACGCGAAGATTCTCTTCGAGGTGCACTTCAAGCAGCATATACTGGCCCGCATGAAGTAATCGAAAGAGATTCGAAAGTTTTTAAAATCCGTATAAAAGGTAAAGATGTCACAGTATCGATAGACCGTATAAAACCAGCCTACATACTGTCAGACCAAAACATTACACCTAAATCTTTCGATGATAAAAATGTTACCATCACTCCAATTTTAAAAACTACTCGATCGGGTCGTAAAGTTAGATTTCCAGACTACTTTCGCCCGTGAACGGTCTCTGGAGGGGAGTGATGTGGCTGACTTACATTCATCATAAAACATTAAATAAATTCACACACCTTACACACACCCTACATAATAAAAAAAATAAAAAAAATACGCATAGAACTTGAGCCTTGAACTTGAGCCTCGCGGACAGCTGATCGAGGTGACGTAATGTCATGTTTCCTCCCGCGCACCGCACCTCGGTGTTTACCATTAGCGGCGCCCGCGCATTAGCATCTACGATCTTTTCAAGTTAATTAAAAGTTAAAAAGTTTCAACTCCTTACTCCAGTCAGTCGCAATCCGCATGCTAGACGAGAGACACGTACCGCTCGCTTACTCGCCATTCCAAGCTTACGTACTTAATCATATAAGCTTCGTAATTTTATGTATTTTATTTCCACTATCTTTGTGCTTTTGTTCTTTCTATCGTGTAAACTGTATGAACTATCTTTCCGCTTTGCTCTTTCTCCTTCTATATTTTGTGGGTGTAAAATAGTGCATTAAAGGCTGTGAATTGTACATAGACTTTTATTAAGTTCTCGCCAACTCAACAACAACACACTACCAAACCCCCACAAATCTTAAGCGATCAAACACTTGTTGCAGATCCTGTATGTGGGTTCCAAGATCTTTGGATATCACCAAGATATCATCCAAGTAAGCGACTACAGTAATCTCCTTAAGACCAGACCGAAAACGATCCATTAGACGCTGAAAGGTTGAAGGAGAGTTTTTAAGGCCGAAGGGCATTCGACGAAACCGAAATGTCCCAAAAGGAGAGACAAATGCAGTCTTATCTCTATCAGCAGCATCTACCTCAATTTGCCAATACCCTGCCTTTAGGTCAATGGTCAAGATTACGTTGTTTAATTTGGTAGATAGCAACAAGTCATCTATTACCGGAAGGGGATACTTGTCGTCCTTCGTAATTTTATTCAGAGCCCGGTAATCCACACAGAAGCGCACTTCTCCATTCTTCTTTGGCACCATAACTACCGGAGAGGCCCATTCAGACTCTGCTTCTTCAATAACTCCCTCTTCTAACATTGTCTCAATCTCTTTTTTCATTACTTCTCTTTTTGCAGGAGACACTCGATATGGCGGAACGCTGATCGGCGCATGATCCCCAGTATCAATGCGGTGGACGGCAAAAGTCGTAGGGGCTCCCCCTGGCTCAAAGATATCCTGGTTCCTTTCCAGAACATCTGATAACTCTCGCCTCCCTTCAGGTTCCAAAAAAGTTCCCTCATCATGTCGGAGACCCACAGTCGAGCATGCTACGCGAAAACTATCTAACGGTCCCTCAAATTCAAGAGCATGGGTCAACGAACCCTTTAAACCCCATAAATTCCGATTAAAATAAGTACCATACCAGAATCCTTAATGAAATTCATGCCTAACAGCGAATCTGTGGCACCGGGAAGAACGATAAAAAGTGTCGACACTACTATGTCTAACACCGTCACCTCCACTTGAGCAGTATCAACAACTAAATTTTTTACAGTGCCATCAGCAAATTTCAATTCTGTCCTAACTTTAACAAATTTATGGTTATTCTTATATAAATGAGCTTTTAAGCTTTCACTCGCGATACAATGTTTCGCCCCGGTATCGACCAATACACGACCCCTAGCACCGTACACTAACACTTCTAGGAGTGGTCGACTCCTCGGATCTACCGGCTTCGACTGTGTGAAACGCGGAATTCGCGGCGGTTTTACTACACTTTATACACTTTGCACGTATAACACCGGGCGTTCCACAACCAAAACAAGTTATTTGAGATCGCTCAGGTGATTTCTCTGCTTTTGTTACACTCGACGCCTTTTCTTTCAACCTGTTACAATCCTCCCTCGCGTGACCATATTGTTTGCAGTACACACATCGGGGCCTATGGCTCAGTGCTTTTGATGCGGTAGGTACGCAAGAAGCTCGAGACGTCTCCGGGATAGGAAGCGCGGCTGCAGCCGGCACTCTACGGTGACTACGTCCCTCTTCAAAAAGCTCCTCTAACCGGCGTGCCTCACTTAAAAGCTGAGTGAAAGTAGAAAAGGAATTCCGTGGAAGCCTTTCCCTGACTCTTTTGTGTAACAACCCATATATCATATCCAGTTGTACCGTGTCACTCAGACTGTTAGCAGGTAATTGTGCAAACAAAGCTCTAATTTTGCACACAAACACGTCTACTGTTTCATCACCTTGTTCATGTTCAAATATCTTTCGATATATTTTATGTGGTGGAATGCGCGGGCCAAAGGTCTGCCTTAATAATAAAAGCGCATCACTCCATGTGAAAATACTATGTTTCACCCCTAGGTACCACGTAGCCGCAAAACCAGTTAATAACATAGGTAGTCCCTTTAAAGCTATATCATCGTCTATACTAACACAGTTTTTATAAATAACAATTGCGTCAATAAACGCCTCAACGTCACCTGAGCCGTCAAAACGTGCGGTGCAGCTTGCAAAGTTCGGTAACACATAGGCACCGTATCCAGGCGGTGGCGTATACGAAGTCGGCGGCATACGTAAAGATTGTAAAATAACACTTAGCTGCTGGTCCGTCATAATTACGGGAGTAGGTGTCGTAGGTATCTCTGTCGGCGCACCGTGGCCTGGTGCGTCCGCACCATGCGCGAACGGCACGTGTAAAGATGGCGATGGGTGCGGCGGCGACGCATGGCGCGTCGCGTCGGCGCTCGTACGCACGCTGGACACGACATCAGCGGGTAACACAAATCCTGCGGCCTGCCCGACCTGGGGCGGCGGCACGGATTCATTTGTATCACTCATTGCTAATACTCGGCGCGAACGCGTATTCACCATAAGTACCTAACTATCACACACGATTCACGAACCACACTCAAAAAGTACAATATATGTACACCGATAATCGTAAAGTTTCAGTTTTGACTCGCGACACAATTACAAAAACTTAAAACATGAGTTAATATTTGAGAATGATTGCATCATCCTATAGGTACGACTTTAATTTTCACATTCGTTCCTCGCGTTGGGCAGCCACTTATAGCTAAGGGAAATGATATTCGAAAACTGGTAATTAACACTTTAATATATATACTATTATCGTACATGGGTTGCAGAATAGATTTTAACACAATGTAAGTATAGATATAAAACAACGGCGTAAGAGAGAGCGGCGTGGTCTAGTGTAATGCGCGTCCCGAACATAACTAATTACCCCTCCTGTCCGCGGTAGCGGGCCGGCGGGCGACGCGTGCGGCGGGGGTGTCGTATTGCATCATCTTTTAATGTACGAATTCCGTTCGCTATACTACTAGATAGCGGCACTATATCTACAAAATATCAATTTTACACAGTTCTATGTTGTTATTTTTACGATAACAAAATAACCAAGTTCTATTTAAAAATTACTAAATTTCATTAAAATTAACATAGAATCTTGTAATAGTAAGCCAACGAAATGCTGCAGACATAGTTGAAGGAAGATGTCCTGGCTCTGCAACATCCGGAAATGGACCGGGATAAAGAGGGTTGAAAATCTGTTCAGGCTAGCCCTGAATAAAGAAGAATTCAGGAGGATGGCTGCCGACCGAGATTCAATAATAGAGGGGCACTTGAAGAAGATGAAGTATGTACATATGTGGTCTATGGTTGAAAAGCCTTTCCTAAAATCTGCTTGCTCGGTAGGTAGACCACATTCTAGTGTCTTTCGTTTATGAGGAGAAAAGCTTGTATAGGTTTACATGGTAATAAACTTATCGGCATATAGTTTCCAATGTCGTTTGGATCTCCTTTTTTATAAATTAAAATAATGTTAGATGATGATCATGTGTAGCTGTCACGCCTGTTGATATGATCCGATTAAGTAAAATAGATAATGGAAAAGCTAATGTGGTAGACGCTATTTTTATGGTTACGTTTGTGATGTCATCTGGACCTGGAGATTTGCCTGATTTTGATTTTTTGACGGTTTTAATGACTTCAGATACGTACTTCAATTTGATTGCTTTAGCGGTACCTATTTATGTATTGTTTATTTCTAATATTTAGGTATAACATTTTTGGCACAGTATAAAGTTGGATAAAATTCAGTTGCTACTGTGATGATCTCTCCACGCCCGCGTAGTGTTATCGCACCTTATTCTAGTGCAATGATCCATGTTTTATTAGATTTAAGCTCTTTATACGCCTTTTTAGTACTTCTACTTGCTATGGTCAGTATAATATATAGTTGAAACTATAGTTGTATAATTATGCTTGATACATTTACATATAAGTTTAAAGAGTTTTGATTTTTAGTTCCATTGAGTTCTTGTCGTCTACTTATATATTTTAATATAGGTTCCGACAGTAGGTATAGGTACATTCTATGAGTTCGGGGATCGGAAATTAAAGCATGCCTTTTGCACTATTAGTGTTTTATTGCTCTTGGTTAACAAGAGTGACAGTTCTGGTTAAACTCAGTCACTGAACACTAATCTTCACCACTAGATACACTTTCACTATAACTTCACTGCACATTCCTTCACCTTTTTGTACTTCTTCTCAGTGTTTACTTAGCTTCGAAATTCAACTCTCGACACACTGCTGGCCTTTTTATATGCTTAAACAAACAACATAATAAAAATATGAATATAGAAAATTTCTATTTAAATGCACCTAACGCTAAAGTTTCAATGTAATATTCACCCACCGGACAAAAAAGGCTACCTTCTATTTTAACACCAAAGGTATGACTCTGCAGACATAACAAATCAAAAACAAACAATTTACAAATCATACACTATATATTTTTATATTGAGTTATACATTTCTTTATTTATTTACAGGTTACGCTTCTCGCCGTTGTAGAGAAGATGGCCTTTGGGTAAACCGCCGCCAAGGTGAAGCGAGTGTGAGAGGGTGGACAAACTTCACTACATGCTTCCCTCCCGACATTCAAGGCTTATTTGTTGAAGGATTTAATGAAGATCAACATTATCTGGTAAGTTTTTATTTAAACTCCATGCTAGAAAACTGAAATATTTAAGAATTAAATAAAATATAATAATTAACTGTCAACTACTTTCAATTGTAAATTTTAGTATTATTGTTTTTAATTACATTATTGAAAGTTATTATTATGTAATATTTTTGATATTTATTTTAAAGAATACTTATATATTGATTTAAAAGAAAAAGAAATCCTATTTGAGAAAAATTAAGCATAAGCAACTTATATATTTTTTAATTAGTATTTAATACAAACGGCCTACGAAATACGTCGTTGACTATAGGTATACTTTTTAGATATAATTTGGATAAATTTTAGGTCACATTATTTTTATTATTTATTGAAGTATTTAATGTTTTCAAATAAATAACCATAACGATATTTGCAAAGTAATTAATACGATATGTAAAATAAAAAAATAAATAAAAAAAGTGAAATAAAAACCAGAATACAAATAAAAAGAACATTGATAATGATAAATTATTAGCGGCTCCCCGAAACGGGGGTGCTCATCATCAAAACTTCTTTAAAAGCCTCTTAACTTCATTAAAGAAATTTTATTTTATACTTTTTAGATTTTCTGTCGAGGGTTAGGTACTTATAATTTTTAATATTATCTAACTATTTTTCGTAGATATCGAACTTCTCGACTAGACTATAAGAATTGAAAGCGTATCCTATATTATTATAGTTGGCTCGAATATTCATGTGCAAGTTGCAATATTTTACTAATGTAAGGACAGAATTTCAAGAAGTTCAAGGGATTGAATATCCCGTCGGGGCAAGTATACAGGAAAAAAAAACACAGTATCTACACTGGCGTGCAAAAAAATCGGGCCATCCTTAATTTTAAGCATAATTTTTTGTTGACAATTGTTTGGTGAAAAAATATACCGCGAAGGTAATTAAGGAGATTATATGCCTTTGTTTCTTTCAAAAAAGTCATAAAATTCCTGGAAATGCACGTGTGCGCTTAATTATAGTCAATTAACAGTAATTAGTGAATATTTGCATAATATGGATTGAAGTCACAAATATTGTTTTTTGTTATTTTAGAAGCTTAGTTGAGTTCCAATTATTGAACAAGACACTTCTACTTTGATCTGCGATTATTAGAAATACTGCAAGATGGGTCTGACCGAGGCTGAATCATCTCGAATTGTGACTTTGCTTGAAACTGGACAAAGACAACGTCAAGTGGCTCAAGCTTCTTCTGTGAGCCGTTCTACGGTCCAGAGAGTGTACAAACGTTACATAGAGACTGGCGGTGGCTTTGTACGACGACATGTTTCCAGCCGACGAAGAGCCACATCAGAGCGTGATGATCGATTTATTGTCTCATCAGCTCTAAGAAATCGTCATCGCACAGGGGTTGACGTTCGAAATCTCCTGAGAGAAGCGAGAGGTGTTAATGTTAGCGAGTGGACAGTAAGGCGCCGATTTAGAGCCGCTTCCCTGACGCCACGCAAGTCCGCAAGTGACCCCAAACTCACCCCTGCACATCGAATTGCAAGATTACTTTTTGCCCGAGATCACGTGAATTGGAATTTGGAGCAGTGGAAGAAGGTTCTTATTACTGACGAAAGCAGAATGTGTTTGCATGGTGCCGACGGCCGTAATTTTGTTTACTGGCGACCAGGTGAAAGATATGCACCATGCACTATGCGGGAAACAGTGTCATATGGAGGGGGCTCAGTTATGTTTTGGGCAGGATTCTGTTATGAAGCGAAAACCGAGCTTATATTCATAGAAAATGGATCCCTTACAGCCGCTAGGTATATAACGGAGGTTTTAGAAGATCATGTGATGCCTTTTACTGGGTTCATTGCAGAAGATTTTCTGCTTCTACACGATAATGCTCGCCCACACACTGCTACATCAGTAAGGCAGTATCTTCAAGAGGTCGGATTGTCTACTATTGCCTGGCCAGCGCGAAGCCCTGACCTCAATCCGATAGAGCATGTATGGGACTATCTCAAAAGAAAAGTTAGAAGTCGCGTAGTAGTCCCGAGCAAAATTCAAGAATTAAAAAGCGCCTTATTAGAAGAATGGGAGTCTATTACACAAGATTATCTAAAAAAGTGTGTCAAATCTCTGAAAAACCGATTAAAAGCTGTAATTAAAAATAGAGGCGGTAATACGCATTATTAAAAATCATAAAATCAATCGAAATCTTTTAGTTTTCCCATTAATTTGCGGCTTACATTTTTATACCAAACTCGCGAAAAATCATAAAATTTGATTTTCCTCTATTTTCGAGCAATAATTTTTATTTAAATTATTCAACGATTATTGATTTAGGTACCTAGGGTATACAGCTACCCATATATAATAAAAAAATTAATAAAAAAATATCATATCTTAAGTTTGTCCATTTTCTTTAGGTGGCCCGATTTTTTTGCACGCCAGTGTACATAGCGAATAGACCATCTAGGTACTTACCTACACTTATTTTGGTTTTAGATTTGAAATTTTGCAAAACGTCCTTCGACAAATGTAATTTACAATCTAAATGAAGGCTTAATCTAACAGTAACAATAAATGTGTTGTTTGGAATTATGCTATACTTATTAATTACCTTGATTTTTAATGTCTTTTTTTTAAACCAAGGACGAGGACAATTAATCATTTTGATGCCAAGTCCTTCCAACATATCGTACAGTTTTTTTTCGAACTATTCAGATATAATAGCCCAAAATGCTACCTTAATCTTATCAATAGAGAGAGCAGTAAACGCGCGAGTAGGTAGTAGGTATTGTCACTTATAATAACACTCCGACATTTGACAATTTCATGTTTAACTGATAGGTGTTGTACCTACCTACGTTTTAAATTTTTGGTCGTTTTTATCAATTTAAATATTTGTACAATGAATAAATATTTTATACCTATATTTTTTTATAAGAGGAGGGATTTAAAAAGATTCTTTCAGTAGGTTCTACTTCTTCTTCTTAGTAGTTTCAGTCTTGACAGAATGGTCGTGGGCATCATATAGGTCTTGTAACCCGCTCGAGTATTTGCCACCACTCCTCTCTATTATTCGTGTTTCTGGCACATTCATGCAGTGGGACGTCTACTGCCACTCTGACTTGGTCTTTCCACCACATTGTCGACCTACCACGCGCTCTAGTGCCCAAGAGGATAGACGCGCTCGAGATGTGGTGCTGGAGACGAATGCTGAGAACACCACACCTTATTCAGGACTAACATCTCTATCCTCAAAGATATCGGCATCAAGCAGCATCTCTATAGTTCAGGCTCGAATCTTAACCTACCTTGGTCACGTGGCTAGATGCAATAATGTGGCCATCGTAAGCTTAGTTGTGCAAGGAAGGCTAGAGGGCACTAGAGGCCGGGGGTAGGTTCTACTTAGGTACCTATATATTTTTCTTGCTTTCATATGAATATAGTTGTATGCTGGTGAAAAAATTTCGAAAAAAAACCCATAGGTGCAAAAAAAGGATATATCCTTGAATTAGTAGATACTCGTAGGTACATTGTACATGCAATAGACAATTTATTTATCTCTTTATTTTCCACTATTTAAACATTACTCTTTAATAATGATAACAATAATTTATATCTTATCTATACGTTAAATTAAAACAAAATATATTTTATCATATGCTCATTAAATACTACGTTCACGGTCATTTCAATTACTCTGAATCCTTGAAACGTAGGATTAATTCCCCTCGGCCATGAAATACAGCGGAGAAAATCAATAGTGCAGCTCATCCGTAACTGGCTGGTGCTTACAATTACGACCTTGCTTGTAAAATATTTAAAATATACCTTAAAACTTACGAAATATATACAGTAGATAGGTCATTAGATAACAAAGCATTCCATCCCAATTAATGGTCACTTTGCTAGATACCTATCTCGTTTTTCAAGTTCAAGTTCGATAATGCAGCCCTGTAAAAACTAAATATAGATGCATCGAGATAGCGCTTGCGCGATCCTTGTAACCCTGCATCCCCTAACCCCCGGACCACCCTTCAATGCCTGCATCTCACGGTCAAGGGTAGGTACAGTTCGCGCCGGGCTCTCGACCATAACAGTTCTCTTGTTGACGGTTGGCAATTATTATATTATTGTTGATTGAAATTAGGTAATTAAGTGAATTTGTTTAGTTACAAAGAAATTATTGCTTAAGAAAAAAAAGTGCGTCTGTGTATAATTCACACATGGTAGAAGTGAAACTTCAGAAAAATAATCCACGAGAGAATGGGATGAATATATAGTTTATCAGAAGTGGGATAATTATAAGCTTTTTTTTATTAATATTTTCACGGAGTTTAAAAGTTATTTTACATTTTATTTGACATAAATATACAGTATCTATTAATCACTAATTAATTTTATAATTTTTTGTGTAATGTATCTATCTCTAATAATTAAATAAGACACATTAGGCATATTACAGTCATATATTTATAAAATATCATATACGAAAAGGATATAATATTATATATTTGTCAGACAATAAATAACAACGGTTACCACATCAACATGGTAATGTATCTCATTCTCTCGCCGGCCTAATCCTATATATTCATGTGTTTGTTTCTTTTTAGTGTCGCACTTTCGTTTCATCGAGTTTTAAATTACAACGATTCTAAAGAAGTTTCACTTCAAAAAAATTAAGTCCTTCCAAAATTTTATTTTTAGATTTCTCTCTAGTGCAAGATTAGAACCGTGAACAGGCCGTACGACCGTTTAAGTCTTAAGCTAACTCAAAACCTGTCAATTTTCACAAAATAGACACGTAATACGAGTAAACGTCTGTAAAAAATTATAAAGACCCAGCTAGAGTCAAAAGGTAAGTGAACGTAATTTTTTTAAGCTACATTAATTCAGTGACAAACATGTCAATGATTCTTTCATTATAATTTTTGTGACTGGATTCTATCGCCTTTTTTTAAATATAATATTCACAATATTTTTTTTATTCATATTTTATATAGATATCGTTAAAAATATTATGA